TATCAGAATACAGTGATTGGACGGCCCTTAGCAACTTGCTATCAATCCTGTATGCGCGAAGGCATGTCCACAGACTGTTGCGAGGGATCCGGTCATACGCTTTCTCTAGGTCCACAAATCCCATGTACACCGGCTGGGCGTACTCCCATGATTTCTTAACAATCTGGCACAGCGCAAATATATGGACAGAGGTGTTTCGACCGGGCAAGAACCCACATTGCTCTTTTTGGATCTTCAGGTCAACTATTTCACGGCACCTCCTTTCTAGCACCTTTCCGTAGACTTTACCTGGGAGGCTCAATAACGCTATGCCCCTATAATAGAGCTTTTTTTGTGGTCTCCCTTCTTGAATACGGGTACAATAACACCCGTTCTCCAGTCAGCTGGTGTATTTCCCGCAGTCATCGCAACTTGAGAGACACGTGTTAGCCAGCACATCCCTTGTTCGCCTAATGCCTTGAGCATCTAAGGGCGCATTTGGTCAATTCCAGCAGCTTTCTCATTTTCGAAGCTTTTCACAGCTTGTGTAATTTCATCTACAGAGGTAGTAATATCCGTACTTTTCTGCTCTACAGCCGAGTCTTCCTCCGGTTGGGCGGGGTTAAAGAGTTATTCAAAGTACTCCCTCTATCGCCGAAGAATGTCATCATGGTAAGAGGGTGTCCCGATCTGTCCTTCAAGACTCTGAGACTGCCGGTCTTTTCACCTCCGAGTCGGCGGATGGTCAGCCAGAATGCTGCGTTTGCCGTGTGGAAATTGGGCTCCAACACCTCACCGAACTTCTCCCAGGATTCATCGTTGGCTTTTGACACTGCTTTGGCTGCCGCCTTGCGTGCGTCGACATATCGCACGCGACTAGAAGATTCTTTGCTTCTAAGCCACTTCTTGAACGCTGCTTTCTTCTCTTTAACTGTCAGTTGTACCTCTCGTGTGCACCATGAAGATCGTTTCTGACCTCAAGGCGGCAGGCCAACCCATTTAAATTCGCGGCATTCGGCGGTAGCCTCGAGTATGCTGTTCCTAAAGAGCTGCCGCTCGGTTTCAACATCGGTTGTCATCACTGGGATCTGTTCAAACTGTCGTGCGACAATCTTTCCAAATATCGCTCTCGTGTGCACTGAAGACAATGTTTCCCATTTGATTTTGCAGTTGTTTTTGCCACCAGATCTTCGTATGGTATTCCATTTCTTATAGCGCAGCGCGTCAAGAACAAGGTGATGATCGGTTGATAGCTCTGCGCCTCTCTTAACACGAACATCCATTACTGAGCGTCTTAGGTCAGACGATACGATTATGAAATCGATCATCAACTTCTATGCACAAGCTTCCCGGTACCAGGTGTACCAATATACCAATACACTCTTCGATGCTCGAAGAATTTGTTCATAGTGGCCAGTCCCTTAATATGCAAAAACCGCAACAACTTCGTGCCGTTATTGTTGAGGTCGCTAGGGCTTTTTTTTCTAATCTCGCGTTCCACTTTTCAGCGTGTACCTGGACATGCGCATTAAAATTGCCCTTAGGTATGAGGGACTCTTATTGGGCACTTCGAATAAAGCTCACTGCGCTTCCTTAAGGAAGGTATCATATTGTGCCTTCAAAATGGGCGCATAGACCTGTACCATGGTCAACACTTTAGCGTGTTGTAGCTTCAGTCGGAGGATTACCACCCTTCCGCTGACAGTCTTCCCATTGATAATTCTATCGGCGAGGTTGGGATCTACCAGAACGCCAACACCGGCCTGAGCGCGAGTCGTGATATCGACGC